TCATCACGCATAGGGTAAATATGATATTAAGAATAGACAATTTTGTTGCGAAACAGTCCTTGCAAGTCTTTGAGCCTTATTTTTATCTGGATAGGTCTTTGAACCAGCATTTTAAATCTTAAAAAGCAAGAAACTGTGAACTGGTCGTGTATAGGTCACAAATGTAATGTGACTTGTGACGATCTAGCATTTCCCTGCATGAAAAGAAAATAAAAAAAGTGCGTAGCAATTTCACGCAAAGAAAAAAACGTGCGTAATCCTTACTAGTATTATAAAGGCGAAAGTTTGTTTTTATGGATGGATGTTTGTTACTCTTACACGCAAATACTACTCAATATATTTTAATGAAAATTTACAATAATATAGCTTATACATCAGATTAACACATAGGCTATAATTTATATACATATTTTATGTATATCTGTCTGTCGGAATGTTACGCCTTCAGCCTATTCAACGCAGACGTAGTCGCGGGCAGCAGGTAGTATTCGAATATATTAACGTTCCTTTTTAATCATAAAAATAAACATGACGTAACGGACAACATCATTAAGTCCAAGATTACGAAGAGCTGCTGATTTTAGATAGATAAATTTGAAATTTATTGTCAAACATAGATTTATGTTCAAAGATCTGAAAATGGCCTGAGTTGGATATAAAAATTATAACACTGATACTGCCGGTACTCCAAAAGTTGGATCAATCAACTGTGCTATTATTTCATCTTCATAAACCTTTTACGACGAGTATTATTACCTTTTACCCGCTGCTTCGCCTGGGCTGTTCTTTCTTGAATATAATAGTTAAACGTTACGGGTGTAAAGAATCTGTTAATTTACAGTAACACTGTTCTTAATGCGACTGTGTATTCGACGCAAACATTCCGCGAAGGATGCAAACGTATGTTGGTTTAAACAAATTTTCTATTTATCTTGTAACTAGCGACCCGCCCCGGCTTCGCACGGGTGAAATGTATTACACATATAAACTTTCCTCTTGAATCTAGAGTGATTCTAGTAAAGAACCGCATCAAGATTTGTTGCGTAATTTTAAAGATATACCTAGGGACAGACAGACAGCGCGACGCCTTTGTTTTATACTGTGCGGTGATGATATACAGATTAATTCAACTCATTTGTCAGTACTCTGCAGCAGGCACCTGGTGTTCTAGTTCAGTTCTCCATCCTTATTGATGCGTTTAAAATCCTCTACCGTCGTTTAACTCACGCAATAACTCGTATCGTCGCCATAATAATGAATTAAAAGTTGTACGCCTTTCTATTAAGATGACGAACTGGCAATCAGATCATTTGAACTGATCAATGACGCCTTCGGACATTTGTAATACCTTAAAAACTGAAAACTTGTTGTCAATCTCTAAGAGTCCAGGCCCGGTTACTTTACTCATAATACAACACATTAATGAGTAAAAATCCTTCATATTATTTGTTCTACACGACTAAACTTATTCGAATGGAGATTATTAAGCTGAATTGATTTATCAGGTGTTGATAATTGAACTATTACATAATATGGATAAAAAACTTATTTTGTTCATCCTTTATCCTCCCATAGCGGATGTCAGTTCATAATAGAACACTTTCGGTGGTAGAGTTGTTTCATGTCAGTGTCGATGATAAACGATGGTTAAGACATCAGGTGAGATAGTAGCCAAGCTGGCCGAGAAAAAAACCCGGCCAAGTGCGAGTCGGACTCGCGCACGAAGGTTTCCGTACCATTATCTACAAAAGGGGCAAAAAATTATGTCTGTTGTATGGAAGCCCCACTTAAATATTTTTTATTGGGTTTTTTGTTTAGTATTTGTTCTTGTAACGGCAACAGAAATCATCATCTGGAAAATTTCAACTATCTTACTATGACGGTTCAGCTTGGTGACAGACAGAGAGACAAATATTTCCAAAAAAAGTCTTTATATATTGCGAAATTGGACAATTAGATTCTAAAAGAACGATTTACGACGAACGATTTTTGACGGAACAAGGACGATTAGATTCTAAAAGAAACAGATGATATAACTAAGTAGTTATATCTTAAGGGGAAGTCCCCTTGTTATATCCAATGAAAATGTATGAGGGATCCAGCACTCACAGTACACCCATTTAACATCGTTTTCCGCACTATGTCGGATTTTAAAATGACCCGCGCCGCGCGACGCTGCATCCGCATTTCGCCGCCATTCCCCCAAGCCGCATGTCGCAATTTATTAGACCGGGGTTTGTTCTAGCGTTTTCGCGCGCTTCCCGTTTTTTTCCCCCCCCAAAAAAACATGCGACGTAATTGCGTGCACATGTCCTCTATATGGACGTCTGAACGAATCCGCGATACGACTGAGAGCGTCGAATCAATCGGTCAGCTTTTAATGGACGAGCGTATGGAGGCTTCGTATTCGTATGCATCGGAAAAAGTTCGAATTTACGGAAAGTTAGAATCGGTTTTAATTAATTCTCTATTTGTTTAACTCTGTTTACGTGCGTGATTTAAAAGTAAAGTTACGTTTTTGCAACTAAATGGGATTTTGTTGTAAGAACGAAACCGTTGAAAATGTATCAATTGCTAAATTCGAAAAAAATGTGACGGGACGTTTGTGTGTTAAGGCTTTCTTTTCTATGAGAAGGTGGCAAGCGAGCTCATGGTTCACCTGATGTTAACTGATAACCGCCGCCCATGGACATTTGAAACACCCGTGGGGTTGCAGATGCGTTGCCACCGTTTAATAAAGTGGGAAACCCAGAAACCTCACCCACCAGACAAAATGCAAAACTGTAACACTTCCACCTCACCTCGGTCTTCTGCGAGGTCGTGGTACTTCCCCGGACGGACGTGGCCATTCGTGTAACAGAGAAAACTGTTGGGTGGCTTTACCACAGTGAAAATAATAATATTAACAAAGCTATTCCATGTATGCACTTGTAAGTTGTTATTCATTAAAAAAATCTTTCTGTGTCAACTTTTAAGTGAAAATTCTTATCCATAATGTTTTTATTTCTCCTGAGCTCACTGTCCCGCTTGGATGGGGAAAATACGTCCACTCAACTTCGACTTAACTGTCCGACAGTTGAAACTAGCGCAAATGGCTTAATTAAAACGAAAAAAAAAAACGTGTCTATTCGTCGAACTATTTCAGGACGCCAGCGTCGTCGGATAGCGTAAATATTTCGGACAATCTGTGGTACTGTTCTATAACTCTGTGTGTGATTGTATACCGAAGACCTTTCAAATTTATCCGTGTTAATTGGGATTCAGTTCAATTGTTTTAGTTCTGTTTTATTTGAAAACTAGCGACCCGCCCCGTCTTCGCACGGGTGCAATGCCGAATGTTTGTTTTCGACATTACATTAGAAACCTCTAAAATTATCAGTGTTTCTCTATTACATTATTATTATGCATGAATTAAACATCTAAACCTTCCTAAATCACTCTATCTACGAGTACTCTATCGAAGAGTTTTACGGTGGTAGGGCCACGCAGTAGCCTCGGCTGTTGCACGAATGGGCAGGCCCGTCCGGGTAAGTACCACGACCTCACAGAAGACCGGCGTAAAGTGGAAGTATGACAAATACTTTCGCGTTTCGTCTGGTGAGTGAGGTAGCCGGAGCCCAATTTTCAAAAGGTTGTCAACGCATCTGTAACCCTCGAGTGTAGCAGATGTTCATGGGCGGCGGTATTCACTTAACATCAGGTGAACCGTCTGCTCGTTTGACAACTTTTCGCATAAAAAAAAAAGAGTATTAAAGAAAACCTTATCAAAATCCGTTGCGTCGTTTTAAAGATCTAAGCATACATAGAGACAGACAAACAGCGGGACGACTTTTTTTATACTATGCGACTAGCACTAGATTGGATTTTAAATAAGAAACTTAGTGCTTGGGTTTGCGTGCCTTGACATGGCAACCACACTAATCTGTAGGTATATGAGATGTGCATGCACTGAAACATAAAGATACAAGTATATGCCATTTATTCGCTATAGAGGAGACCTTTTTTTTTAATTAACAATTTCCTTGGTGCCGGCACCAGAGATCGAACTCAGGTTGCTCTACATTGAATTAAAAGCGAACGCCCTGACAATGAGCTATCACGGCTCTCTTCTATTGAATTTATATTCGAAATAATTATTATGCGAATTCCTATATTCATAAAAGTCCATACGTTTTAAATTAACGTCTTTCTTTAATCCTAACCCGTAAAACATACCATAAAACTAATGGTATGTTACCTGCAAGTGAATAATTGTGCCCACAATGCGTTTAAAAGCTTATATAAATTTATATTAAGAAAAGTATTTTGTTTGTTCCTTGACAGAGGGAGGGTGCGATCTTCCCGTCTGTCAGTCTGTCAAGCTTTAGTCAAAACAATTATTGCGTAAATACACCGAATTGTTGAACAGACAAGGCGAGATACGCGGCTTCAGTTCGAGCCTGAATAAGGATATTCGGATGACGCTATTTATTTCTTGTTTCGCTATGTGACAGTGATATATTGTACGTTTAACGGATGCATATTCGAATAGATACAGATGCATATCTCGATAATCAAAATACAATGTTTACGATACGTTCCCCTTTTAATTATTTGATATCATCTTTAAAAAAAAATATTACGACCCCGATAAAATGAAGTGTTTAGATAGATTTTCCTTTTATATAAATCAAGCAATTAAAATTATTGCTGGATTAGTTGGTTTAATCATGTAGATGTTGGTTTTATATCAGTAACACACTGGTACACCCCTTTATGAAATACGTTTCATGTTAGTACTATTTAGAGTAAGAATACAATCATTTCTATCGTGTTCATTATTATTTAGTAATCACGTTGTATGTTACATTGACCAAAGTCGATACTGAAAGTAGAATGTAATTGAATATAGCGAAAGAAGAAGAAATATCGAACCAGTTAGCAACATTCCGACCGCCATTAAAGTTTCCCGCGCTTTTTCACTTGTATAAGTGGAGAACTGACAGCCACTCTCGTTCCAGGACCTACAATCGGAGATCGAGACGCACCGAGATGTGTACGCGTCGCTTACGGGCACCGGCAGACGGCTGCTGGGCTCCTTGTCCTCGCAGGAGGACGCCGTCATGCTGCAAAGGCGCCTCGACGAGATGAACCAGCGCTGGCACCATCTCAAGGCGAAGAGCATGGCAATAAGGTAAGGGAATTCCCACGCTCGAGGATTACAGTGTGGACAATACAGGGTGATATTTTAGACGTAGTATCTACATACTTTGACATAATGTTAATTGATCATTCCATAATGCAAAAAAAAAGTAAAGTAAAATAAAAAAAATTATTAATATTTTAAATTAAAATTAAAAAAAAAATATTAATATTTTTTTTGACAAGAAGTAACTAGAAAGATATCAATTCAAACTTTGTTTATCCTGTTAAGAGTGGTCACCCAATTGATAAGCGGCTAAGTAATTATGCGCTCAGCGAACAATTTTAGTGCTCGTGAATACGTTATTGTACTGAGACCGTAAAGCAGGAATTTCTTATAGGCGATAAAATCTCCTTGTATATCTAATGCAATTGAAAGTCTATAGTCATCTGTAGGACAGCCAACGAATTTAAAGGTAATAAGTTTTACGAAATTATTTTGTTATATACTTAATAATTAATTTAAAATCATCTTCGTCATCATAATTTCAGCCTCTCTTAGTCCACCGCTGACCCAGAGTCTCATCATGACCACATGGCCCTTAATAACACCTTAAATAAAGTAGAAAGTTTCCATTAAACGTGAATTACAGCCGCATTAAACTAGCATTCTTCACTCTTGTCGACTACTAAAACGAAATGACCGCAACTGCATCCTAATTTTCTAACTCCATTTCACTGTATCCTCCACATGTAGCGTCACTTTTTTATCCCTTACGCACTACAGCAAACCATCTAGTTCAGACAACTAAGTCGGAACCTGTGTCAGTGTGTAATGTCAATCATATCCATAGTAAACCCCTACCAAAACACAACACGGGAAACCGATCTCGGTACATTCGAACATTCGACGCGGCCTCTGACGTTGTTTCATCGGGAAAATATGGATTAGCCCTGTCGTGCGCGATATTTCAACATTAAAACGTGTCGAGGGCCTCGGCTGTGGAGCCTCGCTTTCCGGGCGCTTTTTTAAACGTCACGCTGCAAAATGACAGATCGCCACTCGGCGGGTAAACGCGCGCGAGCATCGGAAACACTCTAAGGGCGTGGACACATTCCGCTATATAAATTTATATTTCTCGACACCATAGCCCTTACAGTATTTGAACAAGCACCAAGTTCCGAAACAATTATCTCTGGGTCACACAAATATTTGTCCCGTGTGGGAATCGAACCCATGACACCCGGTGTCGTGTCCAATATCTTGGTAGCTTCATCACGCAGTAATCTTTGACTCACAATGGATAGAGATTATTATTTCGTTTATATTTAATCAAACTGTGTGCTACTTGTGAATTGCAAGGAATGGAAAGACTAAGTAAGTAAAACTATTCAATATAAGAAATAAAAGTTAATTTGCTTATCGTATGTTTTTAGGACCTACTTTTTGACTAATTGTTAAAGTTGAAAATTAAAATAAAATAACGGTGGTAGGGCCACGCAGCAGCCTCGGCAGTTGCGCGAATGGGCAGGCTCGTCCGCGTAAGTACCACGAACTCACAGAAGACCGGCGTAAAGTGGAAGTATGATTAATACTTTCTCGTTTCGCCTGGTGAGTGAGGTAGCCGTAGCCCAATTTCCAAAAAGGTTTTCAACGCAACCCTCGGGTGTAGCAGATGTCCATGGGCGGCGGTATTCACTTAACATCAGTGAACCGTCTGCCCGTTTGGCAACTTTTCACATAAAAAAAAAATAAGTAAATTAATTTATATTAACGACAATCAATTAAACTTCCTTCTTCATATAGCTTGTTATTTTATACATTGTATAAAATAGTATAAGTATATAATATCACTACATAGTATAAAACAAAGTCGCCCCGCTGTCAGTCCCCATGTATGCTTAGATCTTTAAAACTGCGATAGAGTGATTCAGGAGGAAGGTTTATATGTATTTAGTAACAGCTGAGCGAAACCGGGGCGAGTCGTTAGTATTTAATAAATTCGAAAGCATGCCGATTGTTTTTGATTCAAACTATGTATATACTTCTTAGTAGTCATTGGTAATGTTCTTTAGCCCCGCGTAAAACTCCCTTAAACGTTATTTCTGAAAGTGAAACCGCGTTCGTTTAAGATGTGGGGAATAAATGAGGCTAAAGAAATAAAGGGCAAACCTCACAATCTCCCACGGTATTAAGAAATGTTCTCGGCCGATTAAGTTGCTTTCTTATTCGAATCGCGTTCGCGTATCGCCGCAGACCGCTCGGGTGTGTCGCCGCCCTTACGTGCGTAAGCGGGGAACGCGCATACTCCGCCATTCATATTGGTGGCACGTTTAAAAACGTAAATCGTCTCTCGTCATGTATTCATTGTTTCCCCGTATGAATATTAATAATGGCTGCGCTTTGTGTTTTACTTTTTATTTTCCATGTACCTACCTACGTTCACGCGTACGACTGCGTGCGTTTTGATTTGTGTGGTTGTTATTTTTTTTTGTTATGACGCAACGTGTTATACCGATGTGTTTGATGAGGGAGGTGATAAAAAAGTGTTTGTTATTGTTTTACGTACAAAACACGTTTATTGTATGAATTTATTGTACGCCGCTGAATTTTCTAGCTGCATTCTATTTGGGGTAGGTCTAGGTTTTTGATCTATCTCTCGGGACATGGCTGTTTTGGGAGTTACCTGTGCCACTTGGCACGGAGGGAGCCAACAGCGTTTTGCCACCACTGCGACGTATGTGCCGAGGAGACGGCCCAACACGCATTGAAGGAGTGCCCCGCCTGGCGGGAGCAGCGCCGAGAGCTGATGGCTATCGTGGGGCACGATTTCTCCCTACCCGCTGTGGTCCGCGCTATGTTGGACAGCGAGAGGTCGTGGGGTGCCGTCCTCGCCACTCTGCGAGGACATAATCACCCGGAAGGAGGCCACGGAGGAGAAAGGGAGGGAACTGCCACCCTGGAAATCCGCCGCCGGAGACCAGGGCGCTGGAGGCTGGCCTACGCGCGCAACCTTCCCCCCTGATAGCAAGCCCCGGGGCAGCAGATGTGGGACTAACTGCTGCCCCGCGGAGGGCTTGAGAGGGGTGCCGTGTTCATTGCACTGACACGGCACCATTTGGCTGGATCGGGTGTCTAAGCACCCGGGCAGAGGAGGCCTGAGAAAGCCACGGTCGCGCCGGGGTTCGCGGTAGATAGCGTTTTCGTGTTCCCATTTCCCCGGCAAAGCGACAGCGCAGGTGCAACGTGGGTTTTTTGGTGGGTTCCTCGTAACTCCCACATACCCCTGCTGCCTACCCACAAGGCGGCGGGGGATCCATAAAGGATTTTTCCCACGTAAAAAAAAAAAGGTTTCTGATCTAAGTTTAATGTGACATACAAGTTTGAATCGTTTCGATACGGCATATTATATAAGAATTCTTTGTTTCTATATAGCTTTTAATAAAGCGAGGTTGTTTAAACTGGCTAGTATATATATATATATGGGTGAGTCATTCACAAATTTGGGAATTTAAGAAACTTGTACACGCAAAAGAATAGTACCGTAAAGGAAAACTATATATACTTTTTCGTATCTAATGAATCTCATTGGGCAGCATTTGTGGCGTTTTGATCTCATTCCACCACATCTTTTTGCTTGCTTTGCTTTTTGTTACTACCATACATTAGAGAGATCCTACCACCACCCACGAACGGTATCGTCGACTCTCAGATAGAATCTGCCATCGCTAATTTCATGTTATAAACAAGCGATTGAAAGTTCAGCGAGATAAAAGGCATAGAGTTAAAAGTCGACGTTAAAAAAAATAATCCGTAAGGCTTCGGTATTCAATGTAGTGTGGTATTAATTTCCACTGTGGTAGGATCTGGGGACACAGAAGACCGGCGTGAAGTGGTGGTATAATCCTTTACTGTTTCATGTGGTGAGTATGGTATCCGGACCCTACTTTTTAAAGTCATCGACGCATCTGCAAGCCTTCAGATCTCTTAGATGTCCATGGGTGGCGCTATTAACTTAACTTTTTAAAGGTTGTCAACACATCTGCAAGCCTTCAGATGTCTTAGATGTCCATGGGTGGTGCTATAACTTAACTTTTTAAAGGTTGTCAACACATCTGCAAGCCTTCAGATGTCTTAGATGTTATGACGTTTAATAATAACAAGCGACCCGCCCCGGCTCCTCACGGGTGCAATGCTAAATGTTTGTATTTGACATCGCATTAGAAACATCTAAAATTATCAGTGTTTCTCTACTATATTATGCATGAATTATACATGTAAACTTTCCTCTTGAATTATACTCTATCTACTAACGAAAACCGCATCAAAATCCATTGCGTAGTTTTAACGATCTAAGCATACATAGGGACAGACAGGAGCAGGATGACTTTGTTTTGTACTATGTAGTGATGTATATAATGTCATTGCATCGCCAGTATAAAGAGAGTATCAAGAAAAATGTGTTTTCAATGTTGTATTTAGGTGGCTTTTGTGTAATTAATTGGGGTTATGCTTCTGATATGTAATGTAAAACTTTTTCTTGGACTTAATCGCACATTCGCTCACCTATTGGCTTCCTTGGGTACATTAATCCTGTGTCTCAAGTTCCATTCCCATACGGATAAATATTTTTGCGACCCGCGGCTACTTGTTCCACTTTGGGGTGTTGGTTCCCAAAGAGATCCTAGCGTATACCCCTGAAGACATGGGAGGAGATAGCTAATTATGGAGTCGGTTAATCGTGCCCTGTGGAACTCAAATCGAATCAATTCAAACGTGTCAAAGCGGTAAATGAAGCGCGGAACATGTTTCAATTTGGTCGCATTATCATTTAAATTATTATCAATCAAACGTGTGACGTATAACGCTTAATTGACGTATGGGCTGGAATTCAATTAAGCGGTGGGCTCTTATCAGTTTCGGGTTTCACAAATGAATCATATTAATTTGGATTTGTATTACAATTTACACTACAGGTAATAACGGTATTAAATCTCTTGATGAATTATTAATATTTCAATGGGAAGAGGATAACGTTTGTAAAGACTTTT